AAGGGTCTAGGCCTGAAACGTCAGCTTTCCTGCTCCTCTGATGCTGCTTGGCCTGCTGTGTTCATCCAGCTCTGCACCTTGTTATCTCAGATTCTTCAGCATCTGCAGTTCCTACTATGTCTCTAACAGCCGAACATTGGTGCATGTTTTCTAACCAGGACAGAAGAGAAGCTGAATATGTGATAATGACAGCTGAGAGTGGGATGGAATGGGTTGGTTGTGCTGAAAGCAACTTATGTCATGACAGGACCTCACAGGGTATGGGGTTAAGTAAAAAATATGGAAGGATGGAATCTGGATCTAAAGTTATTGAATTCAATGTTGACTCCTAAAGGCTGCAGGGTCCGCAAGTGAAAGATGAGATGCTGTTCTTCAAGCTTGAGCTGAGGTTCACAGGAACCCTGCAGTTTCAGTGTCATCATTTCATTCCTAGTTATACGGTTGGAGTCAACCTGTTACTTCTCAATGTTTTGCAATGAAGGTTTAATTTTTTGGGGGAACTTGGATTTGAAAATGAGGCAATTTGAATTTTAGTTTTAAATTCTGTGAAGGTGACTTTTTTTTAAAAAAAAGAAAACATCATAAAATCTTTTGGAACAGTGAAAGAAAGGATGCAACTGAAACTGGATGATGCAATTAGCTACTTGGGTGTCTAATTATTGAATATTTACAAATTTGAATCATATAATCTTCAGAAAGAAGTGGTAAGGGGCTACTAGCAGGTTGAGTTCAGAAGAAGAGAAGTCATACCAGCAGAAAGACAGATTTCAGTTTTGTAGAGGTCTTCAGGCTGTGACAGTTTAGTTGTTCGAAGTTTTCAGGTTGTGATAGATGTAAAGATGTCCACAGGCCATCAGAGGTGGAGAGAAATTTTAAGTTATTTTCGATTCGTTTGAGGAGGAAGGCAGGAAGAGCTAATGAGCTAGTTTGTGTTTATGAGTCTGTGGAAGAGACAAAGAGAATCACATCTGGTGAATGTATGGAAAGTCAGTTAAGTAAGAAATCTTTAAGTGAAGGTCTTTCCTTGGGGTTGACGATCTATAAAAGATATAGCTGAGCAAAGTGTGAAATATTTGGTTTTGCTGTTTGTGTAAAGGTCTTTCCAAGTTATGTTAAACATAGCTTTTTTACAATTTGTCCATTAAATTTACATTCTTATGTTAAAATACATTGGCAGCCTCAATATGTGCAATGATGCATTACCATGTTCCCAAACTGCAAAGAATAAAACATGTGAGTTATCAAGTCGGATTTCACTCTGGGATCTGACCAGTCCAATATTACCATCAACTGGGATCATAACAATATGTATTTATCATCCCCATCTCAGTAAAACAAGAAATGCATTTTACTTGATGCCTGTTGATGATTTTTAATGCCTTTTGATTAAAATGGTGATACCTTTGTAGCTGGCTTCATAGATTCCATGTCGGTTGCCTAAGCTTGTCAACTGATCATAACAGCCAGTTTAGGTCAGAAACTTCTTTTTTTAAAACCATTTTTTTAGTTCATGAAATTCTCAGTCATTACAGTCAAATGATGGAATTTCGAATATTGGTAGTCCATTTTCATGACAATCACAAAATGTCAATTACTTTGATGAAGGGATTGAATGTATGTAGCTACATTTGTCAATGACAACAAGATAGTGGAAAGGCAATTTGTCAAGAGCACATAAATAATCAATAAAATGATAGATATAAATTACATGAGGGGGCAAAAGTTTGGCGGGTGGAGTATAATATGAGAATATGTGTACTTTTCCACTTTGGCAGGAAGAATGAAAAAGCGGTATATTTCTTTTAAAATGGAGAGGGAATTGCAGAACAGTCATAGAGAGGGATATGGATGAACTGGCACATGAATATCAAAACGCTAGCATGCAGGTGCAGCAAGTGATTAAGATAATGAATTGATGGCATTTATTGCAAGACAAATGCAATATACAAGTAGGGAACTTTTATTGCAGCTAACTAGAACTCTGGCAGTATGTCATCTGGAGCACTTTGTACAATACAGAGCTCCTTACTTAACAAAGGGTGTAATTACATTAGATGCAGTTCAACGAAAGTTCACTCAATTCATTCCTGGGATTCTCATATGCAGAAAGATTGAAAGGTTGGGGTATACCCATTGTACTTCAGTAGGTTGAGAGGTAAACCTATTGATAAACATACGATCCTGAGGAGATATGTTAGGCTGGATACTGAGAGACGTTTCCTCTAGTCAGATGTTTAATAGCAGCAATTAACACTTAACTACATTATTGATGTTTCTGTGGTGAGTTTGGTGCGTCCCTAATTCTGAGCCAGAAGGCTTGGTGCAAAGGTGTCTCATGACGCATCTGAACAGATTGATGAAAATCACCTACAATGGCAATAGAGGGGCATCTTTGATTTGATTTAATATTGAATTCACTCTCTATTTTATACTTGCTTCTCAGTACTTGCACTGTTAATTCCACAGTTCTGCAATTTGATTGGTTAAGAAGTCTCTTGATCCTTTACTGTAAAGTTATTTGCTTGTGCTGTCAGCGACTTGGCACACCTAAAAAATTAAAACTTAAACATGCAAGGGGAAATTACATTCATAACAGATGCTGTTAGACATCCTGTTAGAGCAAAACGTGGGCCAACAACTCTTTGAATAAAAAGAAATTGTCCCCATCTCCTCCTTGGTTATTTTGTCAATATTCTATAGTGTGTGTTCTCTGGTTATTGAACAGCCAACCAGATTTTCCACAGTTCCTCTCTCAAAATCCTTCAAAATCTAATTAAATCTCTCCTTATCCGTAAACTTTTCTGTGCTAAGGCAATCAGCCCCAACCTCAAACGCCTTCCCCATAACTGAAGACTTTACCCGAATCTTACCTGAATCCTTCCTGCTGCTGCACAAAATGTCTCTGCACTGCTCTTTTGTTCTTATGTACTAATTTGTAGCTAAGTCAATGTATGCATTAAAAGAACTGAGAGTCGGAGTAGGGTAATCAGCCCCTCAAGATGCTCCGCCTTTTGATCATGACTGATCTCATCTCGGCCTGATCTCCACATTCCTGCCCACTCCCCATAACCTTTTCACCCATTGCTAATTAAAAAAATAAAAAATATGTATGATATAGGCACTAATCCAATTTTGTCCATTTTAAATAATTACCCAAAATGAGAGGTACTCCCTCAAACTTCTGTTGGCACAAGATCTATTTTCAGCCACAGCGTCATTATCGACAAGAAACATTAACTTTGTTTCTCTCTCTCCACAGATACTTCCAAACCTGCTGAGTACTTTCATTACCTGGTAAAAAGGCCTGAACCGCCCCCATCCACCACCAGCCTTCTCCGCTTGGTCAAGCTCGTCCTCACCCTCAACAAATTCTCTTCTATCTCCTTTCACTTTCTTAAGGTCAGAGGGGTGGCCATGGATACCTGCATGGGCCCCAGTTATGCCTGTCTCTTTGTGGG